AGCACTGGCTAAAGTTTTGATAGCATAATTAATAACATTCAATTTCTTATCAACTCTTTATCCTAGAACAACACCAACAGCATAATCACTAGCATCACACATGCTTTCAAAAGGCAACTTCCAATCGGGTGGTTGAACGATATGTGCAGAAGTTAAGGCTTTCTTAAGTGTTTTGAAGGCTTATAAACAGTCATCATCAAAAACAAATGGAACATCCTTCTATAAAAGATTTGTAAGAGGCCTAGATATTTTAGAGAAATGTTTAATAAATCTCCTATAGAAACCATCATGACCAAGGAAACTACAAATACCTTTAATATCTTTATAATATGTCATTTTCTCAATTGCATCAACTTTAGCTTTATCCACCTCAATACCTCGTTTAGAAATTTTATTCGCCAAGACAATACCTTCATTAACCATAAAGTGGCACTTCTCCCAATTTAAGACAAGATTACTTTGCTCACATCTCTGTAAAACTCGATCAAGGTTGCTCAAGCAATCATCAAAAGAATTTCCATAAACAGAAAATTTATCCATGAAAACCTCAGCAATCTTTTCACAAAAATCGAAGAATATACAAGTCATACATCTTTGATAGGTAGTAGGTGCATTGCATAGACCAAACGGCATACGTCTATACGCATAAGTTCTAAAAGGGCAAGTAAAGGTGGTTTTCTCGTGATCAGGTTGTGAAACAGGTATTTGAGAAAAACAAGAATATCCATCAAGAAAACAAAAGCGAGTTTTCTTAGATAATCTTTCCAACATTTGATCAATAAAAGACAAAGGGTAATGATCATTTATAGTTGATGTATTTAGTTTTCTAGAATCAATTACCATTCTATAACCAATAAAAATTCTTTGAGGAATAAGTTCATTTTTATCATTAGGAACAACAGTAATACCTCCCTTCTTAGGGACACAATGAATGGGACTTACCCATCTGCTATTAGCTATGGGATAGATTATACCTGCTTCTAGAAGTTTTAATATTTTAGTTCTTACCACTTCTTTCATCTTAGGATTCAAACGTCAGTGATGATCAACAACGGGTTTAGCATCAGGTTTCATATTAATCTAGTGCTGACAGAGAGTGTGACTAATGTCCTTAAGATCATCGAGAGTATATCCAATGGCAGCACGGTGCTTCTTTGGAATTTTCAATAATCTTTCTTCTTCATGCTCTGAGAGATTAGCACCAATAATGACATGATATATGTTTTTCTCATCGATATAAGCATATTTCAAAGTGCCAGGCAATGGTTTTAATTAAAACACATGATCACCTTTAGGTGGAGGAGGACCTCCTAGTGTTTCAATAGGAAAATTGTGTTTGAGCAGAGGTCGTTGTTCAAAGAATTTTTTATCTATTTAATTTCTTTCATGCATATGCATAGCATTTTCATGGTCTAGCAAGTATTGTTCTAGTGGATCAGTAGGAGGCACGGCAATAGAAGCAAGACAAATTATTTCATCCTTACTAGGTAATTCTTTCTTATGGGGTTATCTACTAAACTTGGAGAAATTAAACTCATGAGACTCATCACCAAAGCAAACACCGACAATTTGTTTTTCACAATCTATTTTAGCATTAACGGTGTTCAAGAAAGGTCTACCAAAGATAATGGGACAAAAATCATCTTGTGGGGAACCAAGAACTAGAAAATCAGTAAGGTATTTTATTTTCCCACACAAGACTTCAACATATCTAACAATCGCAGGTGGTGTGATGGTGTCTCTATTAGCAAGTTTAATAGTAACATTTATGTCTTCTATTTTAGCGGGTGCTATGTCATTCATAATGTCTTAGTATAAGATAAAAGGAATGGCACTCACATAAACCATGTTAACAATGATCTCCTATTTTACCCGAGACAACAGGCATGCCAACAATAGGTCTATGTTTATCTTTTTCATCAATTTTAGCAATTCTAGCAGCTTCATCGCGGAAGTAAATAACATGCACATTAATATATTCTACCAGGAGATATTTAACCATAGCAACACTAGGTTCTACTTTAATTTGTCCAGCAGATTTAGGTGCTTTAATATTAGTTTTGCGAACCACAGTTGAAGCCTTAGCATGTTTTTTTATCCTAAGAGGGAAAGGTGGTTTTTCATTATAAGCAGTAGACACAAATGCATCAACATTGTAAATAATAGTTTCATCTTTATCTATGGCTGGTTCTTTAATTAATTCTTTAATAGGAGGATGATATTTAAACCACTTCTCCTTAGGGAGATCAACATGGGTAGCAAAAGATTCACAAAAGGAGGCTACTATCTCTGAGTCAAGTCCATATTTAGTGCTAAACTTGTGAAAAGCATCGGTACTTATAAAATATTTAACACAATTAGATTCAAGCTTAATACCTGACTCTTTACCTTCATTGAGTTCTCAATCTTCAGAGTTGCGTTAAATACTTTCTAGAAGGTCCCACTTGAATTCAATAGTCTTCTTCATAAAAGAACCAGTGCAAGAAGTATTGAGCATGGATCGATAATCATGAGAAACTTGAGCATAAAAATTCTGAATACTAATTTCCCTAGAGAGCTCATGATTGGAGCATAAATATAACATTGAATTATGCCTCGCCCAAGCTAGAGTGATACTTTCTCCTTCACGAGGCAAAAAATTATATATATAATTCCGATCACGATGAACTAGAAGCATAGGATAATGCTTTTTTTAAAATTTCAATTTCAATCGATTCCAGTTCCTAGATCCAATATCATCGCATAGTCTATACCATCTGAATGATTTTCCCTTCAATGATAAAGGGAAAACATTCTTCTTAGCTTCATCTCTGGATAAACCTGCAAACTTAAATGATCCACAAATTTCATCCACATATATCATGTACATATCAGGATGTTCAGTTCCATCTCCTGCATAAGGATTAGCCAGCAGTTGTTCTATCATACCCAAAGGAATTTCATAACCAATATTTTCAGTAGGTGCAGTAGGTTGAGGAGCCACTAATTGTGCTTCCAATCAAGGCGAAGATACCCCGAACAAACCCATCCAAGGATGGTTCTCCATAGTAACAAGTGACAATAAATTTCAGCACGTAGTAATAATTTTCCCTTACCAATTTCTACTTACCAGAAGCGCTTCACTCCTTTGCAACGGCGCCAGAAAAGAGTATTGATCATGCACAAGTATAGGGTATCAATCATAGTCCTTTCAAGTAATAGTGTCCCTCGCCGACAAGTAAGCCTCCTCCAAGCTAGGAGTATTGCATCACCATTTTTCTTTAAACCTATTTTCTCTTTCATGCACTTGTATTTGTTGTGTGATTTTTTTTTGAAAAGGGGCTCTTTATTACTTAAAAGGTTTAAGCATTAAACCCGGCCTCTGCATAATTAAGATGCACACAACCTATAAAATCCTCACAACAAGCCAAAATAAAAGAATAAGGCAATATACAAGGAAAAATGAATCTTGTATAATGCCTAAACTGAAGGTGGCCCAATCCTAAGATCATGCTGCCACCCACGTTGGATAAAAATATCCCTCGCCGTAGCCTCCAATCGTGTAGACACCTCCATAAATAGGTCTCGAATCTCCACTCATTGTAGAGAGGACCATAAACGAAGAGTCCAGGAACATCTGTAGATAACCTGCATAAGAGAAGTACTTTTATTACTAAAAACCTTATCATTTCTACATAGCCAAAGCGACCAAATCACGGCAAGCGCTCCCACCCTGAAAAGAATTCTAAACTTCTGATCAATCTCATGTAGCCAGTTGCCAAATATATTAGCAACACTACAAGGAGGATACAAGACAAAAGCTATTTGGATGACTGACCATATAGAAAGAGCCAATTTACATTGGAAGAATAAATGTTTTATTATCTCATCATGCGGACAAAAGACACATTGTGTACTTCCATGCCAATTCCTCTTAACCAGGTTATCTTTTGCAAGAATGACTCCGTGACGAAGATATATGCAAAGATTTTATTCTTAAGAGGTATGTTCATCTTTCAGATCTTCTTATTAATATCAACCGACACGGTAGACTGGATCAAAGCTCTATACATAGAATCCACTGAGAATTTCCCATTCCCATGTAGGTTCCAACGAAATACATCGGACCCTTGTGACAAATGTACCGTGGCTAGCCGCTGGAGTAGTATGTTCCATGATTAGAGTCTAGGTCCAATTAAATCCCTTCTGAACATCACATTTGGCGGAAATGATTCCAAAACCTTGGCGATAGCATCACCCTTGTGAAGCACAATATTGTATAGGGCTGGATATTGTTCATGGAGTGTAGCATTACCTTGTCACTTATCCTCCAAGAATCTAATTTCTGAGCCATCCTTAATGAAGAAGGAACCATAGCGGAAGAAATATTTCTTCGATGCCATTTGTTGTGTGAATATGGTGATTGCTTTATCTAAAAAATGAAATGAAAGTGAGCTTTGAAAGGATAAAGGTTTTCCGGTTGAACTACATAAAAGTGTAGAGTTTTTTTTGAGCATAGGATAGATTTTCACCCCCAAAAAGAAGAAAAAAAAACACTCTTAAGGATAAATCTAGGGGGCAACGTGAACTTCCCTGGAGCCAGAGAAAAGAGATGCAGTGGCGGCGCGGATGGGATTCGGTGAGAGATCGCAAGAGTTTGCCTGGGCTGCAATGCAACGAGTGGGAGGAAAAAGACTCGCCCAGGGCGGGGCGTATCTGAGGACAAACCAAGAGGAAGTTTGCACGAACTTTCCTGTGGCAACACAAGACACGTGCGAGCGAACTTGTTCTCCACGACGCTCCAACCAACCGGATCCAGTGAGGAGTCAGGAGATAGCTTGGGAAGAAAGCATGGCACGTATTTGCCAAGAAAGCACGTCCAAGCCGAACCTCTCTATAAAGTACTACGTGCAGTGGACACAAAGTATCATCATCATAGAAAAATAAGCATCCATCTCCTCCCTTCAGCCCACAGGCAACGAACACACACGAGCGCGCACGAGCGAGCGAGAGGGAGAAAGATGGCGAACCTGTTCCTGAAGCAGGCGAAGCACTACGCGGCGGCGCGGCCCGACTACCCGGCGGAGCTCTTCCAGTTCATCGCGTCCAAGACGGCGCGCCACGACCTCGCGTGGGACGTCGGCACCGGCAGCGGCCAGGCCGCGGTCTCGGTGAGCCTCCCTCCCCAAGTCCCACCTCTCTCCATCCCTGCCGTCCATGAGTTTCTCTTCCTCCTTGCTTTCTCCATAGCGAAGCCACGGTAGTATAGAGATTTTGACTTGTCATGGAGCTGTAGCTGCCTTTGAATCTTTTACGGACTAGTCTCCAGCAATTTACAATCAACATATATGTGCCTTTTTATGCCGACGTTCCTTTCCATGGACCCATGCTGAATCGTTGCAGCCACTCGATCAGCATCCCCTTTTTAGCTAGCTAGTGGAATCGTACTATATCTCACTACCTCCAACCATTTCTTGCATTCAACATCAGCAATTTCTAGTGGAATCCAGATAGATAGACTTTGTAGTACAGCAATTGACTTGTCCTGGCTTCTCGTGCGTGTGGCTGCAACGCATGCAGCTGGCGAAGCTGTACAAGAAGGTGGTGGGCACGGACACGAGCGCGCAGCAGCTGGCCTACGCGCGGGCGCTCCCCAACGTGCGCTACGCCCACACCCCGGCGGACCTGCCGCTCGAGGGCATCCACGCGGCCGTCGCGCCGCCGGGCACCGTCGACGTGGTCACCGTGGCGCAGGCCTTCCACTGGCTCGACCTGCCGCGCTTCTACGCGCAGACCCGCTCCCTCCTGCGCGCGCACGGCGTCCTCGCCGCATGGTGCTACACGGAGCCCCGCGTGGGCGCCGCCGTCGACGCCGTCTTCTGGCGCCTCTACGACGGCTCCCAGCCCCACTGGGCTCCCAACCGGAAGATGGTCGACGACGAGTACCGCAGCGCCTACTTCCCCTTCGACCCCGTCGACGGCGAGACCCACACTGGCCCCTTCGAGTTCTCCACCGAGCGCCGCATGGACCTCGACGACTACTTCACCTACATCAAGTCCTGGTCCGCGTACCAGACCGCCAAGGACAATGGCGTCGAGCTGCTCGACGACGAGACTGTGCGGGAGTTCGCCGACGCGTGGGGCGGCGACCGCCAGGAGGTCAAGACGGTGACGTACCCCATCTTCCTCAGGATCGGCAAGGTGAGGCCTTGAGAATCACCTACAGATGCGGCATGATGATGCAAGTGGCCTTGAGAAAGCCACGCTTTCAAGTCTTCACGTGACGAAGTGAAGATGGTGCAAAATGCCGACCAGCGTACGTGTGCCGCCGCTGGACCATTTTATTTGCATTCCACGCTCTTTTTTACAGGACGAAGTGATTTTTGGCATCCTACTACTACCATCCCCTCCTATTCATATTCCAAATTCAGCGTGTAACAAATGGTATTCCTAGTATCCATCCCATTTTCTAGACAAATAATTGTAAGCTGTGGATGTTACCTTGGTCTATCGTATATGAATGTTATTTTTGCCAGTTTAGCTATATGTAAGTTGCCTGAATATTGAATTAAGGCCAGTCGATTTTTCTGACAGTTGATTGCTGCTTCAAGATCCGCGCTTCTGATTTTTTTTCTGTTGTGTGTTGTGTCTGATTTGGGCTGGGAATTCAACTGACCAGTGTTTTGGGCCAGTCAAACCTTAGCAGGCTGAAGCCCATCAGCCCGTATGACGACCCAGCCTTCCTCTATCTTCTTCTGTTTTTGTCTATCTTTTTTTTCTGTTTTTATTTGTTTTTTACTTTTCTTTTTTCTTTTTTTATTAGTCGGTTTTAGAATTTTATTTTGTGGGTATTGTTAGGATGTTGGTTGGGTGTAAATGTATGTACATAAATACTATATATAATATGTGCAAAAACTGCACTAGTATATAATTGTTGTTTGCATATTATGAAAAGTGCAAATTAGTGTAAAGTTGTGTGTAAGTTTTTCTTAATTTTCTTTCCTCTCAAAGGGTAATAACAATGCAACTAATTAATTCTTTCTTATAAAAATTTATTGTTTTGATTTTATTCTAGTTTTTATTTTATTTTCTTTCTTCTTTATGGGTAACACCAATGCCACTAATTCATTGCTTCTTAGAAAACTTTTGTTTGCCATAATTGCACTATTGTATGCTTATTCTTGCATATTTTCAATATGCGCAATTTTAGTGTATATTTTGTGCAGATTTTTCATTTTTTTTGTTTTACCTTTCTTTCTACTTAAAGGGTAAATACCAATGCCAATAGTTCATTCATCCTTAAAATACTTCATTATTTTATTACACTTTAGTTTTTATTTGATTTTCTTTGTTTTTAAAGGGTAATACCAAACCCATTAATTCACTCTTTCTTAGAAAATTTCATATTTTATTGTTTTAGCTTTTGTTTCATTTGCTTTCTGCTTTAATGATATTACCAAAGCAACTAATCCATTCTTTCTTATGAACCTTCATTATCTTGATTTTATTTTAAGTTTTGTTCAGTTCCTTTCTTCTTTAAGGGTAATACCAATGTCACAAATTCGATCTTCCTTTTTCTATGAAAATTCCACTATTATATGCCTATTCTTTCATATTTTTGAAAAGCGCAATTTTTGTGCCTATTGTGTGCATTTGTCGTTGTTTGTTTTAGATTGTATTTTTTGTGTTTTTTTTCTTTCTTCTTAAAGGGTAATACCAAAGCCAATAATTCATTATTTCATAGAATATTTAATTATTTGATTTTTTTTAGCTTTTGTTTCTTCTTTAAGAGTAATACCAATGCCTCTAATTAATTCTTCTGATGAATATTGTTTCTGCAAAAAAATCCACTATTGTGTGCTTATTTTTAGAAAGCGCAATTTTCTAAGAAACAATCCACTATTTTGTGCTTATTCTCGCATATATTTAAAAAGCGTAATTTTTTTATATATATTGTGCAATTTTTTTTATTCTTTGTTTGACACTCTTCTTTCTTTTGAAGGGTAACACCATGCCACTAATTCATTCCTTCTTAGAATACTTTCTTTTGAAACTTTCATTATTATATGTTTATTCTTGCATATTATGAGTATGCGCAATTTCTGTGTAAACTGTGTGCAATTTTTGTGTTTATTTTATTTGATTTTTTTCTTTCCTTTTTTTGAAGGGTAATACCAATGCCGCTAGCTCATTACTCTTTGAAAACTTACCTTTTTGTTGGACTGTGGTTATTTTCATGCTCTACTGCATTCGATTGCCGGATGTGCCAAAAAGTTGAGAGATTATACAATTTAGATACGATTTTTAGCACATGCGTGTATCTGTATAGTAGGCTGTGCTTTATTCATTTCTTTGATGGCTTACATACGTACACTTCGAGCTGTTGTACGCATGCATTATCATTCCTTTTTCTGTAGAGTAGTTAGCCGCAGCGGTGGATAATGGAAAATAAAAACTGGGCGGGCCAGCCTAGAGGAGAACACGGAAAAAATAGTCTTGCCTGTGCCTGTGGACTGTGGAGTATTGCTTGCTAGTGTAGTTTAGTTGATAATACGGTCTTGCAGTTGCATGTCGGACTGATCAGCTGATTCGAGCTAGCTAGATAATACTAGCCGACCTGACAAATCATTGGTGTAAGCGAAGGATATTCAGTGTTGCATGCGGAGACATGAGGAACAAGGACAAAATTACTGTTATGACCTAAAAGCCTAACAAAATCCCGATTTGACCTCGCTTTGAAATTTTTTTCGTTTCTGACCTCTTTGGGAGACGCCAACATCCCTGACGTCTGGGTTGCGAAGCAGACGCCACGAACCCTGGCGTCTGGCCCATGGCCCGCACTGCCTGCCTGCCCGTTGACCTGCTGACGTGGCAAAGGGGCCAGACGCCAAGGACCCTGGCGTCTGGCCCTGGTAACTAGATAACCCCCGGGAGAGTGTGTGAGACCCACCCCACACACTTTCCCCAATCCACAACCCGAACTTGAAGAACACTTGGAGCTCTCATACTCTCTCCTACCCCTCAAGCTCCCCCTCAAATCCTCTCCAAAAGGTGCATCCCTTAGGTGGATCTTTCCATCACTTTGTTGCTCTTACTAATCTCCCCCAAATCATCCAATTATTTTTTGTTAAATCTTGTTATTTTGGTTGCATTTTATACATATTGGTGGAACCCTAGTTCATGTTTTCTCCCTTATGTTAGTGTAAATGGCTTGGTTAACTTTGATAATATAGTGATATGCATGGTGTGTAGTAGGAATATATGCTTGTTGAGTAGAAAGATTGGGGGTTAGGGTTAGTTAGTGATTAGGGTTAACTTTGCTTAGTGTGTGTTAATTAGTGATACTTTTGTGGACATCACCAATAATTTAGTGTTGATATGAATCGGATATAATGAGATGTATTTGGATAAACACCAATTCTCATTGAAGTCTTAAATGCATTCATGTTATTTTTAGATGGAGAGACTTGTTAATGTTCATTACATGGACAAGGAGGCATTCTTGAGTAACAATGCCGACACGGGTGAGGAACCATTGGTTTTTGATACAAGCCCTAGGTATGAGGATGTTGTTGCAAAAGTGAGACAAGCCTTAAAGTGGATGGACACCAATGTTGATGTTAAGTTAATAGGAAGGTATGATGTTGGAGTTGGAGCCAAATCTCGCTTGAAAAGTATGCCTATCACCTCGGATTTGCATTGGGATGTATACAAGGAATAAGTTTCCCAATCGGAAGACAAGTCACTTGAATTGTTTGCCACCAAGGTTGATTCTCCTCGGTTTACACTTGATTTGAACCGGCATGTCTCTTCCCCAATGGATGACATGAGCGAGATGACAATGGTGCCACTTGTTGAGCATAGGGTTGTGGTTGATGCCCCCAATGCTTATCGCCAACCACGTCCCCGTGTACCATCTATTGAACCAAATGAGGTTGAGTTGTATGCCCCCAATGCTTCTAGCCAACCACCAACTAGCCAAGCAAATGAAGTTGAGGTGATTGCTAGTGACGAAGTAATTCAAGATGATGAAGATGTTTATGATGATGACGAAGAGCAAGAGGAAGGGTTTCATGGTAATGATGTTGGTGACTTGGATGCGTACATAGCTCAAAAGGACATGGATCGTGAGTTGCCTTTTAGGCGTCAATATGCATATGACTCGAATGACGATGGTCCAGTTGAACAGTTAGACGAGGATTGATTCACAAAGGAGGAAAACCAAATCCACTTTGAGTTGACGGGCTTAGAAAAAAGAACTCACTTGTTTAAAGATCTTAGCCTTGCCCATAAAGCTGTTGTTGATGGTGGAATGAGAATGACGGCGATTGAGCCAACACCATGCCCGGATCCAGGAGAACCAAGGGAGGAGAAGGAGGACGAGGATGCTTATTTGAAGAAAGGAGTGAAGTTTCTGAGCTTGCCTATGCTGAAGTTTTGGTTGTCTGACTATGCCATTCGACACCATAGGCCATTTTATGTTGAGCACTCCGACATGAAGTTGCGTTACACCGTGAAGTGTGAGCAAGAAGGATGCCCATGGAAGGTTCGTGCAAGAAAGCTTAAAGAAACCGAAGAATGTTGTTAAAAAGTTGTGTTGCCACTCATAGGTGCAAACCGCCATCTAAACGACTTCGAACGACACATCGTCAACTCACATCTGAGTATCTCGGATACAAATGGATGAAAGACATAGGCTTTGATCCCACTGTGAAAGTGAGGTTTCTCATGCGGACGGTGAAAAAACAATTTGGTTATGAAGTCAAGTATGGGAAGGCATGGAAGGCAAAGGCAAATGCTATTAGGATGTTGTATGGTGGTTATGAAGAAGCATACAACCAGCTCCCAAGGTTGTTGGCCGCAATTGCACATAAGAACCCGGGCATGTTTCATGTGGTCGAGGATCACGAGGGAGTGTTCCACCGTGCCTTCTGGAGTTATGGACAATGTGTGTAGGCGTTCCAGCATTGTCGTCCGGTCTTGTCTATAGATGGCACGTTCTTGACCGGTAGATACAAGGGCACACTAATGGTAGCAATGGCGCACTCATCAAACGACAACGTGTTGCCGTGTGCATTTGCTTTGGTTCCTTCCGAGCAACAAGACAACTGGGAGTGGTTCATGGGTCATGTTAGGCACAACGTGATTGGGGCTAGGGAGGTGTGCATCATATCGGACCGGCACCATGGCATACTCAAGGCAATGGACATGTT